AACAGTCTTTGGAATTAGGGCTGTAAATGAGTCGAGTCGAGTTTTACTTCAAGTTGAGCTCGGGTCGAGCTCGAGCTAGCAAGTTTACTAAAATCTTGACTTTTATTTGGTTCTTCAATTTGTCTATCATGATACATATGACTTATTTTATTAGCTAATTTCATGTTAGACTTTGTCGGTAACATATATCATTTAGTTAATAAATTTTAACTACTCCAAATCATATTATTTCATAGTATCGGAGCAATCTATGATACATAATTTCTTTTTAAAATAGAAAATAAAATATATTTGCTCACATACTCAATGTGTTAAAACTTTATATACGACGAGATATATAATTTAACAACCATATGAATTAAAAACATAAGATATAGATTGATTCGTCCATAAGTCGGTAATCGAGTTGGCTCTCTAGCCAATAGCCATGAGCTCTAAACGAGCAAGCTCACGAGTTTAGCTCAACAACCCACCGAGTCGAGCTAGTTCGCGAGCTTCACAAGCTGAGCAAAGCTTAGCTCATGTTCAGCTCATTTATTAACGAACCGAGTTTTGAACGAGCTTTTTTCGAGTCGAACGTCGATACGCTCGCGAGCAACTCAGCTCATTTGCAACCCTATTTGGAATGTGCCATCTCTGTATTTGCATGAATTTCATTTGGGCTACCGAAGAAGCTGTTTTGCAGTTGAAACGCAGCTTCCGATAGGCTAAACGGGGGCGGTTCCTTCTTTCCAACTAGGGCTGCAAATGAGCCGAGCTGTTCGCGAGCGGCTCGGTGTTCGACTCGAGAAAAGCTCGTTTGAAACTCGGCTTGTTAATAAACGAGCCGAACATGAGCTAAGCTTTCTTCAGCTCGTGAAGCTCGCGAGCTAGCTTGACTCGGTGGCTTGTTGAGCTAAACTCGTGAGCTGGCTCGTTTAGAGCTCATGATATGTCTCAACATGTGGCTAGAGAGCCAACTCGATTACCGACTTATGGACGAATCAATCTATATCTTATGTTTTTAATTCATATGGTTGTTAAATTATATATCTCACCATATATAAAGTTTAAAACGTTGAGTATGTGAGAAAATATATCTTATTTTCTACTTTAAAAAATATTATGTATCATAAATTGCTTCGTTACTATGAAATAACATGATTTGGAGTAGTTAAAATTTATTAACTAAATGATATATGATACCAACAAAGTATAATATGATATTAGCTAACAAAATAAATCATGTGTATAATGATATACAAAATGAAGTACCAAATAAAAGTTAAGATTTTAGTAAACAAACTAGCTCGACCTCGACTCGACTCGTTAATAAACGAGTTGAGCTCCAGCTCGACTCGTTTATTAACGAGCCGAGCTCAAGTTGGGGTAAAACTCGACTCGGCTCATTTGCAGCCTTATCTTTAAAACATAAAGAGTGGGTACGCTTTATTGTCAAAATGCCTGTTTACAGTTTCATTTGTCGTTTTCTGAATGGGCTGAACTCTGAAGAGAACTTCCCCAACTATGCCAATTTGCCTGCCCTCGATCGAGACGGCCTTCCCCTCAACATACGACCATGCTTCTGTACCCTCTCACCATCCCTTCACCCCCGCTCTAGAAATCCGCTGCCGCACGGGGTCTCCTGTCATCTCATCTCTCAGTGGCGCTCCATCAAGTTGTCTGTTCCTCACAATTCCCCCCGCACGCCACCACCCGTATTTCTATGGTTGGTCAGTGCTTCACAACGCCACCTTCCTTCTGCTTCTACAGTGCTGCCCTCTCTCCACCAGTTGGCTTGGATTGTACTTGCCGGAGAGAAATGCTTTCCCCTCTTTTGCCATCCGCAATCCCCTAACCTTTCTTCTCTCTTGCAGCGCAAATCCTGAAAATTTCCCTGTTGCGGTCGTCGTCGAACCCAAAGGAGGAAGACGAAATCGATTTATAGAAGACGAAATCGATTTATAGAAGGAGCATGGCGAGAAGGAAGGGGAGTTGGTGGAGTCTTTTCATAGCCTCCTCTCCGGGTATTTCGTCGGTACCGCAAATCTCTGTTGGTTGTCATCTTCCGAAGGCCACCAAGTTAGTGGATTCATGAACTTATCATCTCCATATGTCGGCCAAAAGAAGTAGCAGAGTACTTCTCAAGCCATGGAAGCGGTTTCCCTCCTCATTCCCCATCTCTCTTTGTTTTGATGGTGGAAGAAGAATCACCAGGAACACGAGAAGCTTAAAAAAAAGAACACGGAGAAGAAGGAAAACAGGACGCTCTGATCTCATCCCCTTGGGTTTATGCTCCGGTGAGTTAGTCTTCCTTCTCTTCTCTCATTTTAACTTCTACAACTGCGGAAACGTTCTGTTCTATCTATGTACTTTTGCTCGACATTTTTCAACGTGCTTTTATTTGACCAGTTCATTGCTACGTTGTTGGTCACTGAGATGTTTGAATGTGTAATATGGAATTGTGGTTAGGGTGCAGATGTGATTATGTGAATTCTGGTGTTGTTCGGTTGAAATCAGAGAATTAGAGTGGAGTGATATCGTGTAGGGCTGTAGGCTATGGATAGTGTATAGCACTCATATTTGTTAGTTGAGGTTATAGCATTGCTGAACTCTTAATGGGAATGCACATATATAATTTCTCAACAGTTTTTGGATTTGAATAATTTGTGGTTGCATTGGTTCTTCAATTGTTTTGTTAATACGCATTTAATGCACATATACTATTGCTTATTGTGTTAATAAGCATTTAATGTTCAAATATTTGGCGTCAAGGTGTGTTGTACAATTCTGGCTGGTGGCCATGTATTCGTGGAAGAAGCTGATTACATTTTCTACCCAACTTACATGTTTACTGTTTCATTTTGTTTCCCATAAATGCTTGCAACATCAAAGGCAGGAGATCGAACTGTCGAGAGAGAGGGGATAAAGAAGCATTTTCTCTCCCGCCTTCACCCATAAATAATCAACGGTGAAGAATAGTTTTTTCCTACTTTTATTTTCTTGCCGTGCTGGTTGGTTCCTTTCACTCACAAAGTCAACAAGCCTTACTTGGCCACCTGTTACTGAGCCTTATGCAAAAGGAAGCAGTACACAGAGATGTGCTCTTGCTGCAGATCCTTTTATTAGCCTTTGAATGAGCGCATTTTTATGAGAGGTAAGCTGGTTTTCATAAGTTAATATAAAATCATCAAATTATTAGTGAACTTCTTTTGTAATTCCGTCCTTTTCTTCTTCTTATTCTGATTTCTGTCAAGAATAATGAAATCCACTTTGCAGGTGAACCCACCCACAGGGTTGTTGCTACTGCTTGAATGTCATAGCAGGCAATCAGAAGGTTGAATTGTTGTGATATGAAAGTCCTTTATGCTTATTGCATTTCTGCCGCTAAATAATAATTTTAATTTTACTGTCTTAAAAGCTCTATTTCTGTTGTTATGGAGGCTTTTCATAGCCTTTCATTTTCATATGACAATAACATTCAGACATAAATAAATTAGTGCAAACATTATATTCGACAGATTTTGGTCATCGTACTTTATCTTCTCAAACAGTTAGAATAGCAAGTCAAACATAATATATAGACCTAATACGACCATGTTATTTACTTGAGAAAAGCCGACTTATAAACTTCTGAACTTACAGGTTATGTATCCTTTACTATCTTCCGTACATTGCGCCCTGTGAATGTGATTGTTTTTGGAATAGCTAATTCATGTCATTTTCACTTGAGCTGGGGTTTTTTTTTTTGTTTAAATTATTTTTACCTTTCACAATTTGTTTAAACCTGATTTGACATTGCCTTTTGCTAATTCTTTTGCTCAAAATCTTGAGGTCAGCCTTTTACCTCTCAATTGAAGCTTATGCATGAAGATCAGAGCAGCAGGTATGGCGACAAGCAGAATGTAAGTTCCCTGATGTTCTGATCGTCTCCAATACTCTCTGAAAGAAGAAGGAAACTCAGGAATCTGCAACCAATAGCATAAGGTAAGTTCCTTGATATTTTGATCGTCTCCAATACTTTCGGAAAGAAGGAAATTCAGGAATCTGTAGCTAATATGGCTTTGAAGAATGTTTTGTTTGTCGTACTCTTACTAGATGGGTTTTGGTTGTGATACGTGGGAAAATCTTAGGCCACATCATCAAGACTTCGTCTCCTATGTTTTCTGAAAGAAGAACGAAGCTCGGGAATCTGCAGTTAATACCCTTACAGTATACCTAGATTGGTTTTTATTGTGATACTTCGGGAACATTTCAGGCAATATCATCAAGACCCTGCAGGAGGACGGGAATGAATATACATAGGGAAATATTGATGTCAAGTTGGCTGAAGCCTATGACTTTTGCTGGGGGGGTTCAGCAGGCTGTCCAGATTGGCTATGAAGTGAGGAAGCAATTTTGGGAGGAAAAGATATGGGTCACCAATGAGATCATTCACAATCCACTGTTGACAAGGTTTGAACATCTGATGTTGGGTTTCAGAAGAAATGTTCTTTAGTGTAGCATCCAGAATTCTGATGTTGGGTTTGAATGTGTTAGCTACTATTTAACTTAGGTTCAAAATAGCAGAACAATAATACAACAACCGTAGCCAACTGGTGTTCCTCTTGAATGTGTTTGAATGTGTTAGATACTACTACGAATCCTTAACAATCGGTGTTTCTTCTCCCGATGCATGCTTCAAAAAAGCAGAACGATAATACAACAACCCAAGTTTGTCGTCACTTGACTGTCCACCAAATCATTATGCTGCTGCAACTTTAGTTCCCGCGGCGGAGCAGCGGGTATTGATTCTAGTTTCCAACTAAAAGCATAGCAACATGGATGCATTTCTATTCAACTAAAAGCACAGGAGAAAAAGCCAATACCAATGAGAAAAAAGTTTGAGCAGTAGATTCAATAGTGATAAGAGAGGGAAAGGGGGGAAATACATGACTTCGAGCTACTATGAGAGAGAGGCATGTTCAACATAACCAAATTTCATCAATCGAAAGCAATGAAGTTAGCGAGACTTTGAATCTTTAACCTTCGCGTGAGGAAAAAGAAGACTCCAAAGCTTTTTGAGGTGCGCATGGAACTGGAATGAATCCTTCCTGCCAGTTTCAAGCAAAACAAACAGACAAACCCTTCTAGATTAAGGAGGAGTGCAAAGCCATTGAGATGAACAACGGAGAAAGCCAGCTAGCTAACAAAGAGGGTTAAATCAATGGTAGGTGAAGCCATTGAGCTGATTTCTGGTCGGTTCGTGGATCGTCAAGGAAGGCAGCTTCCGATCTGGGCATATAGTTAGGCGAGTTGACGAGAAGAACATATATAGTCAGAGGAAGAAAGAATTCATAGATTCATTTGTATGAAATTGTTCATTTGATCAACAAGGGCGATAAGATTCGTACCTGCACTCGTATAGGACACTGAAGTTGTGGTGGCTGTCAATCATTAGGTCCCCTAGCTTCTTCAGCTTGTCCTTGTCTCCAGGAAAAAAACAATTCTTTGGGAGTTAGATACTCGAAGTTCGGCACAAAGATGGTAATCTACAACTCCCCGGAAGGGAGAAGGTGGTGATGTTCATTTTGGTAAACTACTAAATCACATACTTGAGATTTGCCACCACAACATCCTTGAAAGCGTGTATCCGCTTGGCTTCTGAGTAAACATGGGCAAGCTCTCTGAGATAAAAATGATAAGGCAAAGTGTCAAACTTGGTTAGTTGTCGAAATAGAGAAGTGGATAGAATAGATAGATGAAGCAGAAGTTTCATGGAGTAAAGGGTGTGAAGAAGTTCTGCTAAATGGCATTTTGAACCAGAAATTTGTGACACTTGACTCAAGAGAATGCAAGAATTCAAGCAGAGCAAGATAGTTCTTTAAACTGAAAAGGTTCAAGCTGTGTGAAGTATTCTAGGACTTTTTACGCATACCTGATGCAACTTGAAGTTCTTGGCTGCCTTTAGCACCTCCAATGAGGATGCAGAACTGCTAAATGTAGTTGTAAGCTTCTCTCCAGTTATTTTTTCTATTTCTTCAGCTGTATATGGTTCCTCTTTCAGAAATTCCTGCAGTAGTAGTGGGAGGAAATGATTTAGAGTAGCTAAGCAGGATATGAACAATCAAAATATTCGGACGATGCTGACCAAAAAAGTGGAGAGGTGGTGATACTGATACCTTTTCGGCAATGACTGGATCAGAAGAACGACTTTTTCTAGCAAAAGATACACACAACCCTTCTACATCAGAAAGTGTTATAACATTGGATCTTGCCTCGTCTGGTTTCATTCCCAGCTTTTTCCCAAGTATGATCTGAAAGAAATGTAAACAGAAAAGCAAAATGAAGACGGATCACAAATGGATATGAATTTCCTGAGGTCCAAATCAATGATCCTGCCTCAGAGTTTCTTCCTGACCAAACCCCCTAGGAAAGGAAGAACCGACAGGCCCAAACATGAATGCAGAAAGAGAACTCCTCAACGTCCGACATTCCAAAAGGAAACAGAGAACAACCGGAAGCATGTTGCTTCTGAATTCTGATACCATTAGCCCAAACAACTTCATGTGAGTTACCACAAATGTCTTCTACCGAAACTATCAAACAAAGTCCAACTGTTTACACAGACAAGAAGCAGAACATCTCAACTACGTCAATGGCTAATATGCTAACGGCTATGGTGAGCACATTCAAGGGAAAGAAAGGCAGCTTTGGCTATAGAAATAGAAGTAAGATTCAGAACTATCACCTTCAGAAGTAAGATTCAGAACAGTGTGCAAATTGATGCATGCTTATGCAGCTTTGTAGACACCACATTTTGTCCGGAGCAACCATCCTACTCAAAACTCAAAAGAATATCCAACTTAAAAAGAAAACTCAAGTGAAATTTGGACGAGGTTGGTTGAGATTAGCGATGGCGAATCAATAAGTACCAACGATTTCCAAGTCCTCTTTTTATTTAGTTTGAACATTTGTACTAGTTAGGATTAGCAGTAGCTAATGGTTACCAAATTCGCTTTCGCTTTATTTAGAATAACAATAGTAGCTGATGGTTACCAAATTCGCTTTCGCTTTATTTAGAATAACAATAGTGTTGTCACAACCTATACTAATATCATTGTACTCAGTTTACAGTTGGTCACATTGGTCCAAAGGTGGTCAAATGGAGGAATAGTAGTAATCCATGGTTTGGGAAACGTTGATTAGAAATTTGGATACGATTTAAAAGCAAACGAATTGGGTTGGAAGAATCAATTGAATGTTTGAGCAATTCATACAATGATCATCTAATTCTGAAGGCAATAACATAAATAAATGTGTAACTACAAATTACAATTTATACACTTAGTAATTATACATTAAAAACAAAAAAAACTATCAGAAACAAACCCACACCAGCAGCCCAATTCTCAAACCATAAACCCAATCCAGGTCCGTAATTTTCGGCCCAGTCCACAAGTCAACCAGCCCAGTCAAACAAAGTCAATGGGTCAACTTCAGTCAACTTGGATCAACCGACTTCTTGAAGCCTATCTCATCCAAAAGGCCAGCAATGATTACTGCCTTTTCTTGAAGGGAGGAAAATGGCCAGCTCTTCTGCAAACCAAACAAACAATTGACAACACACCCAAATGAATAGTAAAAAAACCAGATATAAAAGTGGAGGTCGGCTAAAAAACAGAGGGGGACTTCTGGCTGGAAATCCAAAAAAGGGGGAAAATATCACGATAAAAAAAACAGCAAATTTGATAGGAGAAGGGAAGCTGATCGATACAAGGAGAGAAAGCAAAGGCAGCAAACACGATATTGAAGAAAAGGAGAGATTCAGAAGGGAACTTCAAGAACAAAGGCACAAACAACAAAGAGGCAACAACAAATCAGATTTCATCAAACACCAACCACTAAGAGGCCATACCAGGTTGGTATTTCTTCAACCAAAACCAAAGTTACAAGTATATGTCACCCATATTTACATAATCATTCAGCCCAATATATCAAAAAACATAGTAGAAAAACAAGAATAGACATGCTTTTATGCTAGAACTGTATGTAAGTAGATGATTGAAGCCATTTTTCCATGATAGAGCTATATGTATATGAATGATTGAAGCTAACTGAGGCAACTAGTTTCCTATGGCTTTCACTCGAAACTCTAAATCTTGCTACGAATTTGCTAATCTAAAAACCAACAAAACCAAACCAGTTTGTTGCTTGCAGATAAGAAAGTCAGATCCGACATATTTATGCCCATTTAACGACATTTACTTGTGCTAGATCTGATTTATCTATGTGCTAGATCTGACTTCACTATACTTTTGAATACATGTTTCTGCCCAAAGTAAACAAAACATTATATGAAACCAGTTATGACAAGTTCAATTAAGACCTATAGTCCCTATGTAATCATAGTAGTGTCTATGACTAGGTTATTGTAAGATCTTTTCAATTGGAAACTTAACAAAAGCCACTAGCTGTTCAGTATACCATAGGCGAAATAGAGAGACTACCTCAAACTACCAAGTAAAGACCAATAAACGAAATTAATGCAGAAATTCAATAAAAGATAGCAAATCCTAGTCCGATAAAAATGGCAAACAGTGGCAGAGATTTATAGAAGCGAAAGTAGCTACTTTGGTTCATTACCCAAAAATCCCAAATCAAACAATCAAATAGCAAGAGAGAAAGTTTGATTCTGTTATAGATCGCAGGCAGTAGCAGCGATCATTAGTTTAGCTTCTTTTAGCTTTTTCAACCAAATAAACAAGTCCCAGATCAAAACCTGTAACAACAAAAATAAATAAAAAAGGATACCGAAACCAAAACTCTGCCGCCGGTTGTGGTGCAGGCTGCGTCGCCGGCAGCTCCCATTTCTCTTTTCGGTGGAGACCGGAACAAAAACAAAAAATAAACAAATGGGGTAAGATCCCAATCGAAAGGGTAATCAATAAAAATAAACATGCGTATTAAAGAGAGGGCTTACCAGGGGGTAAGATCTTCTCACCATCGTCGCGGTCCCAACCAGAAAGGCAGATTGAGAACCCATCTCGGCTCTGGGTTGGTTTTTCTGGAAATAAAACACAAGAAATAGGGGTCAGAATTTCGAAAAAAACCCCTAACATCGGATACGAAAATAGCAGAAATCGCATGAATAAAGAAGTAAACAAACCTCATAAACTCCAAAATAAACACAAATCCATATCAGAATCATAATTAAAACAAAAAATAGCTAAGAAGCCGACATGCAAGATGACCCTACCTCGATCGATCGTCGCCGACGAGGTTCCGCCGCCGTGCCCGTCGCCGACGAGGTTCCGCCGCCGTGCCCGTCGCCGACACGGAGAGGCAGTGAATGGCGAGTGAGAAAGAAGAAGGCAGAACGAGAGAGAGAGAGAGAGAGAGAGAGAAGGGGGTTGTCTTCGGGTCGTTTCGCCGGCTGGAGGAGCGAGAAGGAAGAGAGTTTCGTCGCCGTTTTCCGGTGAATGGAACGAGAAAGAAGCAGAAAATCGAGAGAGGGAGAGAGTGAAGGCCGCCGTTCGGTTTAGGTAAGACAGTAGCAGAATAGCGTTCTTTCCTTCTTTAAGATGAATTTATACTCACCCGGAAACGACCAAATTACCCCTAGGGTTACGTCGTAATTACGTGGCCTTGCCACCGCGTTTCTGAGCAATTACGAAATTGCCCCCTCGCCTTTCTCTGAAATAGAAAAGGGGACAAAAAAAATGAGGCTGGTGGACATCGAACCCCCGTCCCCAGCAACAATAGCGGCATGCTTGGGAGCATAACCAGTTGGGCTGCTGGCCCATCATCCGTCAATTAAAACATCCCGCTTAATTTTATTCCTTCACAGTCCTTAATACGAAATGTGAAATGTGGATTAAGTTTATCTCGTCTCTTTTCTAATACACCAAAATACATCCTAATAACTAAATCCTAATAATAATCAATCTAAATTTTAACAATAAAATTATAATACGAAAATCACGATCAGTGGAACGTGATGAAAATGTCACAATTAAACTATCAAAGTTCAAGCGAACTACGTGGACTTTGATCCCGTCTTACGGGTACGTAGGCAACCGATAAGGTTCGAGTCCAATTAATCAACTAACTTTATCTTTAAATTTTTACGTCAGTGGGCGTATAATTAAATTACAACTAATATGATTAAATCATTAAATGGTCCAGTGGGACCCCTAAAATTACAAATTATTACTAAAATACACCCAACTCGTATAAAACTTATCGACTTAAGTAGTACCGATTTAGGGCGTTGTGGGGGTGTTACTTAACTTCCCTACACGTAACCGTACTCCCGAACCCAGAACTTCATTTTCGCAGACCATATCTCGGTTCTGACCCTAAGGTTAGAGCCGATCCTAAGAGTGTTCGATCCACTCCAACTAAGATCGATGGCGACTCCCAAAAAATGCCGACGCGACGACATTCGGACCCCCCGGACGGGACAGTTGCGACAGTTGGCGACTCCGCTGGGGACTATTAGAGAGTCGAGCTACATAATTAAGTTTGATAAGTTTTTCTAACTTCCTATTACGTGTTAGGTGTTTACTTTATTATTTGCGCAATTATATTTTCGCAATTAAATTATGCATTCATGCATAAAAGCTCTATACCCGAGCTATCCTTTTAGAAAATTGAAAGGAGTACCGTGACATCCACAGTAGTGGTAGTCACGCAAAACTTTCTAACCAAGTTGAACTCGGATCCGAGGATGATCTCGAGGTATCTAGCCAGTTCGAAAGGGCTACGGCAGGACACAACTTGGGAACCAAATCCCTAGGAATTTCTCTGCCAGCATATAGTAAGCATAGAGGCCTCCCTAAACCGTCCAAAACAATCCCCAAAGACACCCTGAAACCGTGTCGTTACGCCGTTCGAAAGCCCTATGTCTACCTAATTAGGGTAATGATGTAATGATATGTGTTTGCTTATCCAGATGTATGTTTGATTACGATGTAATGATGTGCGTTTTATCTTTTACTCGTAAAACTGTGTGATTGCATTAATGAAAAACGTTTTGAAAATTCATAAACATTGTTCTCTCATAAGATTTTCATTCACCCAAGACAATTTTATCATAAGAAGCTTAAAAATGCATGCATGAGATGAAAAATGATTTTGCATTCATACATCATTGCATTTTTGCATAAGCATCATGCATAAATATAAAGAACAAAATTAATTTAACACTGTTGAGACAAAATCAGGTTTCCTTAAAATTGCTCGTCCACAAGGAAAAAGTCAGGACTTCAAGTACTTAACTAGATCCAAGCTCGAGTTCGTCATGGAAGCGTTCCAGAAAAAGTTAAGCGACATTGAAGGAAAGATAACCGGATTCGATGAAAAGCTAGCCGGGTTCGATGAAATGAAGGATCAACTGAACATGATAGTAAATATCTTATCAGCTAAAGGGAAAGGGGTAGTATCTAACGATGAAGAAATACACTCTGATGAAGAAGATCGCGATGGGAACA